AGAGAGAGAGAGAGAGAGAGAGAGAGAGAGAGAGAGAGAGAGAGAGAGAGAGAGAATGTTTAATATTTTTTAGTGATAACCATTAATCAAAACTGATGTGATTTCCAATCTTAGGTTTCTAATCTTAGTATCAGTAGACGGCACTTACTAGTTGAACTTTGACCTTGAAAAGTCAAAGGTCACATTGAGTGAGAGGGGAAGTGAACTTTACTACAAAAATTGTAACACAAGTTATACAAAGTACTGGCATTACAGAGAGAGGAGGGATTAATTGCATCCTCTTTTGAGATTATTAATACTTCCATATTTTAAAATCCAAGCATACCTAGAATCTTTCAGACAATCTAGATTAAATGGGATTTCACAACACATTTCCACAGTGAGCGCATTTGGAATTTTGAACTGGCAAAAAATTGTAGGTTCACAATAGAGCTGCTAAGGTAGATTTGACTAGGCTTAAAACTTTGTTTATCTAAGAACTAACCAGGTAATTTTACCTGTTTTTCTGAGTAGATGAGTCTACTTTTGCATAAAGCTTTGGGCTAAAGTCATCCATTATTTCTGTTTTGTGAAATCAACTATAGGATGTTGATGGGCTAAGATTCATGGTTAAAGCAAACCTGCCATTGACTTCTGCCTAGAGCTGCAAAATCATTTGGAAGATCACCCTACATGGTCATGACGAAGATCCATCCCTATGTTTGGATTAAAAGAAAAGGTAGACTATTGGTTCTCCAGATACTTCAGAAAACCAGCATGGCTCATTTTGGAAGATAAGTGCAGGGTCCTCGCAAGGCTCTGGGAGGACATAAAACGTAAAACTCTGGGAAGTTCTGGAAGTCTGGAAATGGGCCCATTTCCAGCTCCGGAGGGCCTCTGGAGCTTGGGTGATGCTGTTTTTGCCCTCCCCTAGGCTAGAGGAAAGCCTCTGGAGCCTGGGGAGGGCAAAACAATAGGCCTCCTGGAAGTCTGGAAACAGGCCTGTTTCTGGCCTCTGAAGGGTCTTTGGACCCCGGGAGAGGCCATTTTTGCTCTCCCGAAGGCTCGAGGAAAGCCACCAGAGCCTGGGGAGGGCAAAAATGCCCCCCACAATGGTGCAGGAGGTCAAGTAGGTCATGCCCACCATGGCCACACCACCCAGCAACCAGGCAGAGAACTGGTTGCTAAAAAATTTGAATCCCACCCCTGAACAACACTGAAATGAGATATGTGTCTAGAGTAGGCCATGATACCCATAGGTAGCAGTAGACTTAGCAAGATAGAGAAAATGTTTGGATCAGGGATCATGTACAAAGCATGTTTGCTTGTAAACAAATAGTAATATTCATAGAAAGTTTAAAAAAACACCTCAAAATGGCATGTATGTAAGAAATGGGACAGGGCTTCAATCACATAGCCAACCTCTTGATTGTTTTATAACCATTCGCCCACTGACACTGCAAGGAAGATAGACATCTGTCTGGACTATTACTATTTGTAGTTTTTCGTGATGGACATAAATAATTTTCCAGGCACTTTATTTTCAAAATCTGTTGTGAACTCTTGAGTATACTGTATATTTCTAATTTTTAAAAAAATTGGACCCAGTGGAAGATCTTAATGCTCCATCCTGTAGACCAAGAAGATTGGACCAAATCAGTGGAAGATCTTAATGCTCCATCCTGTGTATTTCCCAACCTTTCTCTCACCTCTCTACAAGCATACACCGGTATTCTTCTACTTGGAATATATGTGAAAAACACACTTTTATGGTTATCTATATTTATAGTTATCTGTAAAGCACATGGTAATTCAATAAGGCCATTTTCACATAATTCCCACAGTGGAAAAAATGACCAGTTGACAGCAAGCACAGTATTGTATAAATGTTTTAGACTCCAGTGATTTAAAAATCCATTTGAATAAGTGTTATGACTTCCCATATTAGCATCTGTTCTCTAAGCCCAGTCATAAAATCAACCATCTGGGAAGTTCAGACTGAATTCACACTACACTATTCTTATAATATAGTGCTTGAATTGTTGTTTAGAGTACAAGTATTAAACACTGATTCCAAGGCAAAAATGTGTCATTTCATTATTTCATATGATACTTTGATTACAGTTCCTTATGGTCTCATAGCACCTTCTAGCATTTCTTAGCCAACATGGAGGGGGAGTGTAAAATCTGCCTTCGTTGTGGCCATTCTAGCCCAACTGTGGCCAGAAATTGCTTGAAAATGCTTTAATTCAAAATTGAGTATCCTGCCTATACCACAACAAAATTTTCCAAAATGGTTTGAAGAGAGGAGATTACTGAATTATATTTCATGGAGGACTCAGCAGATCATCGCTTCATTCTGGATTCTATAATCACCATTCAAATATCAATCCATAATCCTTATTTATATGTGCAATTCAAGAAATGAATGACATTCCTGAGGTCCCTATTGTACTCCAACAAGGTCATTACCAAACTGAGATCTCTATGATATCAGTTGAGAAAATAGCTACAACAAGAAATGCTGAATGCAAAAAAATAGAACAGGGGAAAAGTGTTTTTAAGCTATGAAACAATCTAAATTCATGATTGGGAAATGAAAGAATCAATAAAATAAAGTCAAATAAGGAAGCACAAACACTGTGAGCTGATTTAGATAAGTACCGTACTTCCCCTTGTTTCATGGTTGCAACACAAAAAGATAATATAAATCACATACAACAAACTTAAATGTTGTGTCGCTGCACAACCAATACAATACTTTCACATAGACATACACCAACATTAGATGATAATAAAATTGCAGAGGGAAAAGATCATATAACAGTGTTTGGTATTACTTCAAATTACAGATGAGAGATTATGCTTTTGAATGTGGTCTTTTGTTAAGCACGTCTTGTTTATAATGAATATAATCTATTCCAACACTAGATGGGAGCCACGAGTTGGTGTTGTGGTGTCTGTGCTGCCATCTCATGGTCATTTGTAATACTGCAACCACTGTATCATGGTATATTTATGTTTTAAACACCCCTGGCCAAGAGAAAGCTAGTGCAGCAGAGAAGAGTTTGGGAAATCAATTAACATTCCCCAAAATTTTGAAATGAATTTCCAGAAATCTGTTGGATCCATTTATGGAGTATAGTTTTCAGCTTTAATTCCACAACAGCAGTTCTGCCCATTCAAAAATATCATACTTTCCCATTATTCCATAGAAACAAACCTCTTTCTGAACATATAGCATTGCTCTTAAAAATTATATGATTGCTTTAAACAAATCTTATAATATACCATGCAGCTGTTTAATAAAGACGAGATAGAGTTTACAAATTTCTCAGGACAAATCACTATTCTGTCTTTCTAATCTGCCAAAGAAAGAGACAGCTATTCCTGGGCTAGAAATCTGAATTTCAGCTCTAAGCAATCCCAACCCAAGTCAGGAATGCTGGGAATTATATTTTAGTTCCATCTTGAGAGCTTCAAGTTTTCTACCTCTTCATTCCTTCTAAAGATGGATCCCTCAAAAACATCCCTGCCATTTGTTCTTTTCTATGAATTTGAAACTTGATAAGGAGAACGTAGCATGCAAAATTGATTGAACATCTTATTACCATTTCCCCTTTCTGTCCAGGTTGACCCTGAAACAAGATTTAAAAAAAGGTTTCAGTATAAACCTTTTGAACATTAAGATCAGAAATTATTTTAGATTTGTCCTCTTTACTCACCAGCTGGGGGAGAGAAGAGAGGAGAGGAAGGGGAAGGGGAGGGGGGAAATGAGAGCAGAGTGGGAAAGGGAAGGGAAGAGAAGGAAAGAGAAGGGAAGAGAAGAGAAGGGAATAGAAGAGAAGAGAGGAGTGAAAGGGGAGGGGAGAAAGGAGAGCAGAGTGGGAAGGGAAAGGAAGGGAAGAGAAGGAAAGAGAAGAAAGGAGAGGAGGAGAGGAGAGGAGAGGAAGGGGAAGGGGAGGGGGAAAGGAGAGCAGAGCAGAGTGGGAAATGGAAGGGAAGGGAAGAGAAGAGAGAGGAGAAGAGAGGATGGGAGAAGAGAGGAGAGGAAGGGGAAAGGAGAGCAGAGCAGAGTGGGAAAGGGAAGGGAATAGAATAGAATTTAAGTATTGCTGCAAAAGGTTCCTTTCTAACCTATGGAAAATCTCACAATATTCTGCTCATTGTTGCCCCTTTGTCTATTAAACCACCTAAGTTTCTTCTCTGATCATTTTGAAATAAGCATTTTAAACAACCTTCTGGACAGAAATGTGAGGGGGAGGATTATGGGAAAGTGGGAGGGGGGACGACTCAAAGTCTAAAGGATAAGAATGAGAAAATGACTTCACTTACTGGTTTGCCATCCAAACCAATTGGACCCTAAAAAGAGGGGGAGAAAAGGGAGGGGGAGAGAGAGAGAGAAAGAGAGAGGTCAATTGATTTAAATAGCAAGGATTTCTTTTTACAGCATGTTTTTGTCTGGCCAGTTCAACCCACCACCTTCATCATGCAACGTTAGGACCAGAGATATAAATATATCAAACACTGGGGAAAAAAAAGAAAGTCAATATTTTAAAATATGCATGAGTGTACTTTTTTAACAATGCAGTTGGTACATATAGCGAGGATTGTGGGAAAGGGAACTAGGAACAAACTGAATCATTACCTCATGATAGATATGGAATGAAGTACAGGTAGCCCTCAAACTACAACTACAATTGAGCCAGGGGTGGATTCTGGCATCTGTTATTGCTGGTTTGCTCAGGGACGCGCTTTGCACGTGTGCATGCTTGATATGCACTATGCGTCCATACACAGTAGTAAAAAACTGCTTCTGCACATGCACGGAAGCAAAAGACAAGATGGCGCCATCGATAGAACCAGTTTGGGGGCGTGGCCGGCCAAGTTACTACCTACTCGGCCAAACCGGTAGAAACCCACCTCTGAATTGAGTCCAACATTTCTGTTGCTAAGTCAGACATTTGTTATGTGGGCTTTGCCCCATTTTACAACCTCTCTTGCCACAGTTGTTATGTGAATCACTGCAGTTGTTAAGTTAGTAACCCAGTTGTAAAGTGAACCTGGCTTCCCCCATTGACTTTGCTTGTCAAAAGGTGGCAAAAGGGGATCACATGAACCCGGGACACTGAAACCGTCATAAATACATGTCAGTTGCTAAGCATCCGAATCGTATTCACATGACCATAGGATGCTCCAACAGTTATGTGAAAAAGGGTCAAAAGTCACTTTTTTTCAGTGCCATTGTAACTTTGAATGGTCACTAAACAAACTTTTGTAAGTCAAGGATGTATATTATTGTATTACATGTCAGCAAAGAAGTACATAAAGGCAGATTATTTTAGGATTGTTATAAATTATGGTCAATTATCTCCTGGAATGCAGTAAAAACCAATAAGGATGTTGAGAAATGGTTCTTATTTATAGTATTCCTATATTTCTGTTGTGGCCCACTAGCATCCAGTGGAGCTGGTGGCGGACTCAGAGAATGCAGAGGTTGGGGAGGAAGATGGGCCAGTCCTGGAGTCTGGGGAAGGTGCTGATGAGTGCTCTGTGTCGGAGGCAGAGAGGGGGGGCCAGGGCCGTCCAACAGTTATCAGTTGCCTTCAGAGTCGGAGATAAGTGGGGCAGAAGAACAGCTGGAGCCCATTCCCAACGTGCAAAAGGGGAGTGGAGTTTGCAGGAGACAATTAGTTTGCTTAATTAGCATGAAGATTTGTTCTCTTAGAGACTCCTTGCCAAGTATTTTCTTGTACAGCCTAGCGTTTGGAAGATATTGGCCTAACAGCTCTCTAAGACTGATAAGGTCTGTGGTTGTAAATTCACACTTGAAAGACTGTTTGCTCAGTTTGGTTATAAAATAGTATGGCATGCTAGGCAGATGCATTCTAAAATGTTATTTTTTCCTGCTGCAATTTAAGAGTTTTAGAATTCCGAGATGTCATTCCGCTGAACGTTTATCCATAAGACTGACTGAACTGGAAGTTAAGCCAAATGATTTGTGCATTTTTGCAGCTGGTTTGAGGTTGTGGAATTTATTTTATTGAATTATTGTGGAAGGAAATTCCAAGAGTAATGTTGCTAGTTACCTTTACGATTAAAAAAAATGGATAGGGGGATGCAAATCACTGCAAATCTGTTTCAAATATTGGATCTGGTTAAATGAATTGATTTGAAATACTGAACTAAAGCAACCCATGACAAATTCTATTTTATGCATTAAGCTGCTATGCTATGGTCATTTGGTGTATGATTTGGTTTGAAAAGATGATGCAATTTATTGCTTTTGAATCAAGCAGTCAGATCTTAGATCAAAGCATTACAGTAAAACAAACAAACAATGTATTTTACATGGGACATTTTCAACTTCACCATTTTCCAATCGGTGCAATAGAGAATTGTTCAGCAATTTGGAATAAGGATCCTACTTACTGGAAATCCAGGAAAACCTCTTGTTCCAGGCTGTCCCTGAGTAAAGCAAAACAGAGCAAGAAATGTGAAGAAACAAATCAGGCTGCAGCATTTTTCCTGCTATTTCACTTCTATTGAGCTCTGTTCCATTGTTACCCAGATGAAAATGGCTGCACTTGTTTTAGACAAACTCCTAAGTATGGAAAATAAATGGTATAAATCGGAAGTGGGTTGCAACCGGTTCGCGCCAGTTTGGGTGGGACTGGGTCACTCAACTGGTAGGGACAGCAGGCTGGCCGCGCCCCCGAACCAGTTCCCCGGTTGCCCATGCCATCATTGCTGGCATGATTTTTTTGTCATTTTATAATGTGTGCATAAAGCGAAACGGACATAAAGCCAGCAGCAACCCACTCCTGATACAAATCAAAATTATTTCAAAGGGGATAGAATTCACAGGAAAATCCTAAACCTTTTTGTCTCAAAAAGCCGAGGTGGTGCGGTGATTAGGGTGCAGTACTGCAGGCCACTTCAGCTGACTGTTATCTGCAGTTCAGC